GCTCGAGTGCCTAGTTACGCCAAATACCAGTATTTAAGGTGGTCGTTACATCGAATATATCAGTTACGAAGTGAAATATTCCGCGTGATAAATTATCGATTCAGAAATCTCGTCGAAAGCCCACGATTGCTTCCGATCGTTTCGGCGTCTCGTCGTCGAATACGTCGTTCCTCGGATCGGAGAATCGAGAAAGGTACAATGAACGAAAGTTGCACGGTCAACAATTCGATTTGGTCGCACCAAGTTCGACGTACAAATTGATTCGATTGCAAGTGTACAATATGTCGGCCTCGGTATCGTTCGATACAGTAACAACAAATGGTAGGGATGACGGTTAGGGGGACGGGTCACGAGAGCCCAGGGGGTGAGGGGGAGGGGGTCAAGTCGTGAAGCTGGTGCACATCATACTAGTTTTTCTTACATACTGTGTCGATAAACGTCTAAGTACCAGTGTGATCGATGGTTTTCTTTGCGCATCATACGATTTTGTCTTTTGTTACTTGCTCTTTTTTTTACATTACATTAAAATATAACACCAATATCTCGACTTGCTTACGTTATACATATACATATGTGAGTTCTTTTTTTTTTCCTTTTTAATGTATTTAGCGATGATCGTTCGAACAGTCTCTCACCGTCAAGCGTTTAGAAGAGTTCCGAATTCAATATTACGTGCTCGCGCTTCTCATTAATTGACGACACTGGGAAATTGCAGGCTCTGCGGATATGGCGTTCGAGAGTCTCCAAGGAGAATGTCGGAACGACGAGAACGGAACGTCCTTGATCGAGTATTGGGGCTCGTAACGCACGAAATATATTTGTTCGTAAATACTCTTACTCGCTACGACGCGTTCCATTAGATTCTTTCGTTAACATCGAAACACCAAACACTGATTAACATCGATTAATTAATGTTCTATAATTGTTTTTTTTTTTTTAGAACAATGCTCAAATTTCACTTCCGCCGATTATCATTTAAACGACTTTTTATAAGATACTCTTTTCACCGATCAAGAAGCCATAGAATTTTTATTTCGGTACAGGATTTAGAAGTCTAGAAACACTATATATGGAACTCGAAAGGTAAACTTATGTCTCAACGCAAAAGTAGCGGATACATTGTACGTTACGATCCGATACTCGATACACCGTAACGATTCCTGAATAAATTTGCATTAGTCGTTTTGATACGTTCACAATTTGTTGGAATATGTAACTAAATGTGAAACAATTGGTGAAATTGAACCCTCGGTTATCTTTTGGTCGCTACACTCGAACACTTCTAGCGCACAAAGTCTCCTCAAGCTAGTCGATGCGAACAATTGTGTCTGTAAAGTTGTTACCAGACAAAGGGCACAGCCAGTCAGGGCACCAGACACTTGCAATCAAAAAATTACAGACTCAAGATATGTAAATTATTTCAAATAAAATTAATTCTTTACTATTGCAACAAACAACTAGCTTCAGTCGTGCATTTTATGTAATGTATACATTTGAAAACAGAGATGAAGCAACAACATACTGGCAGAGGGTGACTGTGTAAGTCTTACAAGGAACCTCGTCCAAGAAGTATTGAATTTCCATAAAACAAGTTCATTAAAGTGTAATCTAAAAATACAAACTGTAGTCAGGGCAGCAGACACTTGCAATCAAAAACTTACAGGCTCAAGATATGTAAATTATTTCAAATAAAATTAATTCTTTACTATTGCAACAAACTAGCTTCAGTCGTGCATTTTATCTAATGTATACATTTCAAAACAATGAAGTAACAACATAGAGAGTAACTGTGTAAAATAATCTTTGAGTCTCACATGGAACCTTGTCCAAGAAGTATTGAATTTCCATAAAACGAGTTCATTAAAGTGAAGTCTAAGACGTATAATTAATATTGTAATTGCATGGTGCTATGTACTATGACATTGGACTATAAGACACACATTACTTATATAAAAACTTACAGGCTCAAGATATGTAAATTATTTCAAATAAAATGAATTCTTTACTATTGAAACAAACAGCTAGGCTTCAGTAGTCCATTTTATCTAATGTATACATTTGAAAACAGAGATGAAGTAACAACATAGAGAGTAACTGTTTAAAATAATCTTTGAGTCTTACAAGGAACCTCGTCCAAGAAGTATTGAATTTTCATAAAACTTCATTAAAGTGAAATCTAAGACGTATAATTAATATTGTAATTGCATGGTGCTATGTACTAAGACATTGGACTATAAAACACACATTACTTACATAGAAACTTACAGGATCAAGATATGTAAATTATTTCAAATAAAATGAATTCTTTACTATTGAAACAAACTAGTTTCAGACGTGCATTTTATCTAATGTGTAGATTTCAAAACAATGAAGTGAAAACATAGAGAGTAACTGTGTAAAATAATCTTTGAGTCTCACAAGGAACCTTGTCCAAAAAGTACTGAATTTCCATAAAATTTCATTAAAGTGTAGTCTAAGACGTATAATTAATATTGTAATTGCATGGTGCTATGTACTAAGTATACATTTGTGATACTACATATTATCTCATAACAAGTATTCTACACGTGCATTGTACAATTTGTTTCTTCCAATAGAATCCTGATAACTTTACATATCCTGTTCAATGTAATTGCAAGCGTTCGGATGCTTTCCAGACTGGCTGTACACAGTCTCATAAAACTGAACCTTAATCGAATACACGTTCTTACAAAGGATCTTACAATTCAGAATAATCGTAGCGATCTCGACGTTAGTCAGGTATACAATAATCGCGGCGCATGGGTCGGCAGCAGTGCGGAGGATAAAAAACGAGGGGAGCAGCGTAAAAGACAGCAAAAGATTCGTTTCACAGCCTCAGTTAGGAGAATCGATTAAGATTTACAGAGCGTTTTTTTCACTTGTTCGTTACTCTCAAAGAATGGACCCGTGCGACCCCCTTCTTTTTTTTGTTTTTTTTTCTTTTTTTTTGGAACTTAGACCGTGTCCGCTGCAGCAATTACGAATAATGTTAAACTCGGAAGTCTTCCAGAGACATTCGTAAAACCGATTGGTCGAAAATATTATTTCTAGAATCCGTTAGGGTACAAAGTATAGTTGTGAACGATTATCATTAGATAATTATAACGATAAAAATGGACATTGTCTTATCGTGGGATGGAATAGGCTGTGTAAGCTCCGTCAATGCTAGATGCTCCGTTTGCAGTTTCAGAAAAAGGGAACGAAAACTAATGAAACACAGAACGAGAATTAAAAATAAGAACGCAAGGGAACAGAAAGTGTTACAAAGTGCGTGTATAGATTCGAAGTGTTTCACGGATCGGTGAAACGTTTGATAATATTCAACGACGGATAAAAACCGCGATCGTGTAATTAAAAAAAAAAATAAAAACGTAACGCAAAGTCTGAAATGAAAATTTTATTAACCTTTATGCCGGGCAGGCATGTAGCATCACTGTGACATCGTGAGTCTTAATTTCTTTCATCTTTAATAATCTTGATTACCAAAAATGGACAGAATACCTTCGGTCGCGACGGTTTCCTTTCGCGCAGGCGTCAATATACTTTATTTTTTTCGTCGTTTCTTTTAAATTCACAAAAGGTGGGTGGGGTGGGGTGGGGCCAGAAGCGGCGGGAAAACGTCGCGCCGCAGGCGGAGTTTATTATTTATATTCAATAAATATTACGTAACAGTAATACGTTCATTACTGGATAGCGTTAGTATTGTTCTAATTGGACAGAAGTTGTTGGTTGTGTTTGTAGTTCACAATTTGGGCGAATTTTTACGATTATAATCTTAATTGTTAATTGCGTCTTTTTTTTATTTTTTTTATTTATTTATTTATTTATTTATTTATTATTCCGTTCCGTTTACGTTTACTTGCTTCTTCCCTTCGATTCCTCGTATATCCCATTTTTCGTACTCTACACAATCTATTCCGTGAGATTAAAAAAAATATGATAGTTATCGTCGTTTGATTTTGTCTTAACGAGGACGCGCGTACACACGATCGATCGGTTCGCGTCTCAGAAGTTCCGTTTCCGTTACAACGGGGGGGAGATTACCACCGTTCACGTACCGTGTGGGTATATTTTTTTTTCTTCTCCTTTTTCTTTATGCCCTGCGAGAAATGAAATCGATCGTCCACCCATGCTGAGCAAATCGCGTTGAAGTGTATCAAATATATATATGTATATTATATATAGTTCCTCGCGATAAGTTACGTCAGGGAAAACGCGAAACCAACATGAAAGAAAATGTTCTTCCGTCGTCTGTCACGAAACTCGAATCAATTATTACACCTACGCGAATTAACACAATGAAGCAAGCTCGTTTATTCGATTTTTCTACTACCTAAAAAACTTACGAACCTAGTATTGCGATCCTATACACGTGCACGTTGCATTTCATAAAGCGTCTACGTCGGCCTGCCGCTAGTCGACGATTAGTACGAACACACCGGTGAGACCGGAAGGCCGACGGGAAAAACTTTCTATCGTGCAACGTGCACGTTCAACGAACTGCGCCGTATATAAATTAATCGGTGTTACGTTCGCGTAATAACACAATGGTGGACAGAGGATGTATGTTACAATAAAAAGGAACTTAACAGATTTCGCTAAAAAAATACAATATATGAAACAATTGTATACATATAAAATCTTTAAATAATCTACACAACGCGGTAATCGTATTTAAAGGATTTTGGGCGTTCGTCTTTCCATCATGTCGGGCACATCTCCACGGTTCAAATTACCGCCGGGTAATTTTGGAGAGTGTGTGTGTGTGTGTGTGTGTGTTGTGTATATATGCGTGTACGTGTTATCGTCACCGGTAACAGTTTATAAAAATGCCAATTCTCACCCGGTGACCGGTATTTACGTTCCGGATTTCGGTGAATGCGAATTTGGTTTGCTTAAATCGCTATTGGAATATCTCTTCAACTTCCGGTTACCGGGCCTCGACGCAACGAACATACTCGGGGCGCGTGGGGAGGGTGTGAGGGGGAAAAAAATCATTATCAAACTCGACTTTTGTTTCGTTTTTCTTCTCCCTTTTCGACAGCCTTAGACAATGTACAATTCATTAAATCGCGAACTAAACGATGCTTCCTCTTATGTAAAAAGTAAATGGCTCATCATCCCAGTCGTAAAAGTAAAATTATGGAATGCATAAAAATCATAAAACATCGTCGCTGACTCTCGATACATAAAGACCAACCTATGTATCGACTCCTAAACTCTACTGAAATGCGAAATAGATACTATGCTTCTCATTCAGCATGTTCTGCTCGAATCGGGAACGTCCCATGCTTTGTGTGATACACATTAATGACCTAATATTTCAAGTAATATTTATAATTATTAATAATCCATAGCTGCCCTAACGTCTAAGGGACTGAAACACTGCTGCTACACATATCATAGGCATGTAGCAATTAGGATATTTAGTGGCTTATTAGTAAAACGAAGTTACGGTGAAGCGGTTGTGATCCGTTTACTTGCCCCGTGGAGAAGATCGTGTGCCTGTTGTTGAGAGGCCTTCTCCTCGGCTCCGACTTCGGTGCAAGGAATGTAAACCCTCGCCTAAAACACCGGCCATTCAGAATTAACACATCAATGGCTACCACCGACCCCGTCTGCTTCCTAATCGGTTCTATCTGCCTTGTTTTAATAATGTCTTCCTTGCATAGTTATGATCGGATTGAAATCCAGTGACCGCTTAAGGGGGGAACCTCATGTAAATAGCCTGTTTTTCAAGAATTTTTTTTGAAAAATCCAATGCACAGATTCATTTAAAATTTCAAGTATCATTTATTAACGTTATAATGTAAAGAAAAATATTTTTTATAAATTTTAATTATTAATAACAATGGTGTAATGGTGGCTTGAAAATGGCATCCTGTAAATTCGCCGTGCAGCGTACAATGTACAAAAATGATGTGAAACAAAAAAATCAAAATAGAATAGTTAGTTTATGCAAAAACGCTCAGCATGACATTTTTCTTTTGTTAAAATTTTCAAAATTGCAAAAATGGCGAAGGTTTGAAAAAATAACCGGATTTTTTATTATGAACAATTGTTAATAACAAGGTTTTAATTAAAAAATAAAAAAATCGGAGCTAGTCACGCTGAGGCCAATTATTTATAGAATATATATGCCAAGTTTCATAAAGATCGAGTAATTAGTTTTTTGCGAAATTTTGCGTTTCGAGAAAAACGCGTTTAAAGTCCGAGCGTCCGACGAGGGCCCCATTACCTGAGCCGCTCCGCCATTACAACCGTTCACTTTATTTTGAAAATAAGGTACAAGAAAATCTCTTATCACTTTCTAACATTTTTATCGTATTCCTGAGGAAATTTCCTACCAATTTAAGCAAAAAAAAAATGCTCAAAAATTTCATTTTACATGAGGTTCCCCCTTTAAGGCCACTAGAGAATGTCAAATATTGAGAAACGCGTGTAAGTCTATTGATTTTTTGAAGCAGTCAAATAATAGTCGTACCTCTGCTGACGCTTCTGCGCATCGGTGCAGATTGAGGAAGAGTGAAAGTGTAGTTCCTAAGTGCTCTGCCTCGTTTGTCCTGAATTAATTTGTCCACTTTGACGAAGATTCCGCATTTCGGTCGACACGTGAAGTACCTATGGCCGTTCACAGCACCATCATTTTTGCCTGCAACGATACATGCAGTTTTAGTCGCACGTTTCACTCTCGTAACTTCATGATCTATCTAGTCTCGTGGAAGGTTGACTATGCAACAGATTGAGGGGTAAAGAATGGTCGAAGGCAGATCTTACCAGTCGGAGCGTCGAGTTCGACTCCTATCCACGTCCCGGATGCAAATTCTGTCGGGCCAACATACGCTATGACCCCGCAGTAACTGTACGGGCGAACCATCACCGATTCACCGATTACAACCCAGTCTGGGAGTGGTGTCTCGACTCTGCTCAAGTCGTGCCTCGAACCGAAAGCCGAACTCTTGTCGCTTACGTCGTCTATCAACGTAAAACAAAGAGCAAACTTTAACCTCTGGTCGCCAAACAACGCAACACGCGCGGTTGAATGGAAATAAGGATGTACCGTCGATTCGTTCCGAGGAGCTGTTGTCGCCATTTTCGTATGGCATATTGGAGTGCATCGATTGTTCCAGTCGCGCTGCAGCTTTACTCTCCGAAAGTTGTGGACGGACCATGGGGAACGAAGCCCTGTGCTGGGAACTGGTAGGCCTTCCTGTATTGGTAGAAGTCTTCCTTCGTCGCACTACCTGAACATTGCAAGAAGATAGAAATCAAATATGGACGTCTCAAATAAATTAAAGAGTAATCTGGGACGATTAGTTTTATTAATTTCACCTTGCCCGGCGGCAGTTTCGTGTGTACGACCGAGCTGCCCTCCAACGGGCTGTCCTCCCCCGAATTCGACGTCTGGCTGATCTCCATGTCGCTTTTCCTTCGATTGCTCAGAACCTGACTCGTCGAGTTCTTCTTCTGAGCCACGTTGGAGTGTGTCGCGTTGCTGTTGGCGTCGCTGTCGCTTTTCGTCGAGGACACCGGACTGTCGATGTCCGCGTCCATGTAGGCGCCTGTCTCTTCCAGGTTTTTCCTTGTACGCTCTGCCAATAAGAAAAAAAAACATAATGATTTTCGTTTGCCTAACGTGACAATTCGTCCAAGTAACTCTACCAACCCTCGACGCAACTGTTCCCCATCACGTTCAAGTTGTCCAGCGCGGCGGCTACCTCGCCCATGTACTCCTCAGGCGTTTCCTCGACCAGAGAGCTGTCCATTCGTTCGGGCTTCTTGCTGTCCAGCAGATTCCTATACTCCAGGTCCGGGGTCTCGTCCACGCTGATGGACTTTACGGACAGGGAGTCCTCGGACGTCAAGTTGGTCGTGGACACGGCTTGGGAACCGTAACCGCTGCTGCTCATGCTTGGCGTGTTGATCTTCGTCGATTGAAGTTCGACGAGAGAATCCAGTGTGCGTGAAGAAGTTAGTGGTTTTACTGGTTTCGCCGTTGCCTGAACGTAATCGTGTGTGATATGCTTTTGATGCTTTCGGATATCGTTTTGGCTAATAAAAACATATTGCCAAGTACAGAGATGCCTTTCGGGGTTCCTATTCTAATGTACGTTGTGAAAGCTTCTTTTCAGCCCGTCAGAGTCTCGACCCAAAGGACATTACTGTACTTGACTGTGCAGAGATGCAGCAACCAAAATTGTAGGGCTCATAAAAACATCCGAAAAATTACACTAAAGCGTTCTCGCAATTTCGTTTACGCGGTGTATTACTGCCTCGTCTCTTGCATCAATTCGTTTGAGGAACATTAAGCCATTTATGCTGTATATTTAGGCTGTTTGAGATTTAAAACTCATTTGAAGAGTCCAGGAAAGTACGTAGAAACAAAGTCTCGTCCAGACCTCTTTATATGAAACCTGTTGGTCCCGATTTGATTGCAAGAAGAGAGGCAGTATCGTGACACGACTATAGAACGTGTACTACCTGATAGGCTTCGTATTCCGAGTAGTAATCGGCGTCGCTCTTCTCTTCGTCCTCGTCGTTGATTGGCGTGGGCAGCTGGTTCCCCACGTTCGACGTTTCCTCGTGCAGAGTAGTCATTCTCAGACCCAGTTTAGCACCGACGATGTTCGGGGACGCTAAAATCGAACAGCGTAGCGTTAGAGGGACGAGTCGTGACTGTAACGTGCGCTTATAAAAAAATAAATAAACGTGATAGCTTATGGAATATCAGGGCCGATCTGGCCACTATAAAGTGTCAATTATCGCCTGTCCCTTGGTTATACTCGCGTTTCTCTTCATGGGTTTCGACATACATTCAGTGTAGCCAGGTTAATGAGTCGATTACACTAATGGTGCCAGGTCGGTTCTGATACAGATTCGTGATTATACAAAATATCGAACAAAGGAGGACCCATGCTGTTCCTAAGAACAAAAACGGATAATGAATATATTCCACGTATTCGACTATCTATCCCCGGAAATTGTTACATTTTCAATCGACGATATCTCTGACGCTGATCGATGATTTCTTGGGATTCGTTAACATTTTCAGAGCGAATAGAATGTAATTTCTATGTGTAATAATGATGTGTCTAGTTAAGGTTTCGTCTTAATCGGTATGCGAGTCAAGAATGTTGCAATATAAACGTTAGGGTTAGAAGAGGAAGCGCATACGTGGAATATAAGGGCAGCCTGAAGTAAACACAAAACAGAGCTGAAAAGGTACAAATCATTTTAAGCAATAAAAAACACTGAACATTTATGGAACTACGCATTGCACCTTGGGCAGAGCAAGGCTGCAATTCCAGAACGACAGTAAACTACGAAGTTCCAACACAAAGAACGGAAAAAAAAGTAAATCAATAGAAAACTGTTACTTAACTGAATTAAATTACGGTATTGACAATATCTAGAACTTATACTACGTAATGGTCAAACTAAGGAGTAAGGAAACCAAAGAGTTTACTAATCACTACGAGAATGATCGAATGGACTCTTTCAAACTTGGCCAGAGAAGTTTATTTTAAAAATCCGTTGCTCGTTCACCCGCAAGATTTCACTTCTCAGAAGATTTCGCAAGGATCTTCGATTCCTACTTACTGTGCTATATAAGCAGTTTACGATTGTCTCGACAGACGAGGTATGGAGTTCGTTGATACGCTGTATCATACTATAGGAACAGCAAAGAAGCGAATCTTGTCGAACGAGTGAACGGTTTGATATTTAACGTTTTGGTAAAATATTGCAACGCGTTTGTCCCAGCGGGGAAACGGAAGTTTGAAAGAGCGGCCAACAGCGAGTGTCACCTACACTTGGCAGAGGTGGATTGTTGCAGACGTGTCAATGAGTTGAGATTCAGGTTGAGATTCAGGAAAGTTGGTCTCGCTGAAAGGAGATAGACGCACTGATTACAACGGCACTCTTTGTCTCGTTCTTTTCTAAACACTACGTTTTCTTCTCCTCTGAATGGCGAGCCATTAGTGAACATATCTCTTTACAGGCCGTTTACAGGCTTATACAGTCATTAATCATGCCTGCGGGCAAGAGAACACTGGATAGTGAGACATACCAGACGAATGTACACTTGCATGTCGTGTCAAGAGTCGAAGATCGAGAAACATTCATTACACGGTACGTTCGCGCGAACAATGTACAGGTAAAATTCTCATACAGAAACACAGCGCCAATCAACACGTACGTTTCGTTTATCTTTCGATTAACTGTTAGAACGGACTGCACCTTTTCACGGGTTGAAATGTAACTCGCCATTTGTAACGCAAATCCAAAATGCACAGATCACAAATCCCAACAATAAAACAGAACCCTTCCAATGAAACTATAGTCCATCGAGACAAATTAAATGCGTTTAACGAAGCAACGTGCATCGTGAATTTGTCATAAATATATTAACAAGAATTATTAGTTTAAAGTCAACGTTTCGGTGTTTTCCAATAGTTTGATTGTTTATACTATACACGATAGTGTTAGATATATACTACCCTCTCGTTAAGCATGCTGTACTAATTTTGAAACGACCACTTCATGCATTATACTAATTATTTGTTAATTCGGTTATTCTACGTCATACGAGATTGCTTGTACTTCGTCTGTTTGACTTTAAACTAAGTCTTTCCATGGAGAAAGAAAAAGGGCCTCGCTTAAAAACACTGGCTGGTTCACGATTATGTAAATGAATTTTATCTCTCATCGTATTACCTGACTTTTTACATTTACAAAAAGCTTTTACCCTCTTTCTTCGTTCCTGCGAAAAACAATTTAGCTTCTTCGCCGGATCGATTATTGCTTTATCGTCATCGACGGGTTCCAAAAATCGTTAAGAACTCTTTACGTCAAGAAGCGAAGAATTCTGAATTGTTTCTCGGACGTGAATCCACCTAAATCATTAATCGTATAAATATATAAATATGTATATGTATATGTTTAAATATATGTACACATATATGATACAGTTAACCTACGTCTGTTTCTAAAATAATGCTTGGTTTGCACATTCACAGATAGAAACAGTTAAATTAGAAACACTTTACAAGCGACTTTATTCGTTTCTTATTATTTTTTTTCTTTTGAACTATGGTTCGTTCTTAGTTTAAATCTTAACGTTTACATACTTGGTAATTTGTCGAACGCAACGAAATGCACGGTGCTTCGAGCAAATTACCAGCGGGCGAACTATAGAAATCATTTCTATTCTAAAAAAAAAAAATAATTTAAAAAAAAAAGGAAATACTTTTGCGAAAGAATCGTTCAAGGTCCATGCCTCAAATTGCGAAACAGTGAGTACAGAAATATAATAGTGGATTATAGTGCTAGTGAAAATGATTTCTATGCATGGTGACGTTTTGGTAGAAACCGGGCGAGACGAGATTTCTATTCCCTTGAACGCGTTTGGTAATGGTTTACACATCAGCCATGATCAACAACGCACAAATCATTGCATAAAGTGTCGGTGGAGGAACAATTCAGTGAACAATACTTGCCGATGCTTGCTACACAAGGAGCGCATTCGCATGCAGTATATTCAATAATGGAAACTAAAGTAGCATCGCCCACGCAAATAAATAGCGTTCAATCCAGACAGAAACACAATTGGCAATTTTCAGAACTAGAGTACAAATGAATCAGGAGCATACGTCGGGATTTGCTTAATTAACCCATCGAGCATTACCGATGTTCATCTTCCATGGCACCCACTAAAAACTAGATCATTAATATTCTGGTCTCGGTTGGAAATTTTTAGATAGAAGAGAATGGTTTTGAATGGAAGACTGGTACCTGGTGGGTTAACCAAGAGAGCGAACAAAACAGGAGCAGCGTCCTCAAAGCGTTTGGTAGTTTCCTAATCTTAGCCAACAAACGTTGTTCTACTATTCTATTCTGTAGAAGTGACAACAGCATCTGGTTCTGAACATTGCTAGTTAGCAATTAATATCGTGGACACACTAAGGCGTACTGGAAAAAAAGAAATGAACTAAACAACAGACAGACTCAACCACTCACGAGACATATGTACTAATTGTCACTGCCTGTACGGCATCAATTAAATATCAATCAAGACTCCATTTTACCTGAGTTCAGAATGGAGCCTTGCGTGGGCCGAAATAGTTGTAGAAGTAGTAGACGTAGTGTTAAACAGAGGAACAGATAAGTTGGCATACATTAATTAGTCGAAAACAACGTCAATGAATTTTGCTAAAGAATTCGCTATTGTTTTTTTTTTTTTTAAAAGTTCGTTAACGTCTTGGATACGGTTATTTATAAGTGGTAGAGCTTAAATGTCGCTGCTAAAACGCTAGGCGGATCTGAGAAAGTGGGTTTCTTATTACCATGCTCAACTCTCTTTGGCCGCGAGAGCGATCGCGGTGTGACATTGTCTAAGAAGCTATAAATGTTCTCAACTGATCTGTAAGTTGTGCAGAAAAGTTGAACATAGCGTGATGACATAACAGTATGATAGAAGCTGTAAATATAATAATACGAAGTTCCAGTGTAGTGGTATATTGCTAATAGGGAAACCGGTATTACCAAACATTTTTCAGGACAGTGAGAAAATGTTGATCGTGTTTGTTCTAGGCGACAGCGATCCCCTTCTATAGTATTCTATAAATTTAATTTATCATAACGAACTTAGCTTCAGAGACTAAAATTTTTACCAAGTTTTTATCTTGATTCACGACACTATAGAAGGAAATGCTAGTGAAGGATGACATGAATGTTAATATAAAAAAAAAAAATTAAAGAAAAGGAAACAGGTGATATGGTGTTCTTTTCTTTCAAAACCAACATATCCAATACCAAAGGAACACGTGACAGTGGAATTTTAGACAATCTAGGGCAAATCGTAGAGTGATTATCATGGCAAGGTGATATATATAATATCAAAAAAACACTGCATAAGCCACATTTCAGAAACGAATTATAGATTCTTTATCGAATATAATTTAAGAAAGCGAAATCAAGGCAACGAGAAGTGATTTAAAGTCGATATTGTTCTAAGACTAAGGTCCTTAAACACAGTGCCATTAAATTTATTGAAGCGTTATTCGAATAATTCCATTGTAGTTTAAGCAAACTAAGATGTCGCATTCATTAAAACTGATGAATTTGCATAAGACAATAAGTCATAAAAATCTCAAATAAAATATTGTAAACCAATTCATTAAGTTTATGTAAGGTAGCAATCCATTTAGCAAAAATTCTGCGTCTGTAGCAAGCTCTGCGCCGAACAGAGTGTTAAACAAATATTGTCATAGCATAATTAACTAAAAAACTCATTTACTAAATTCGCTATGTGGTCAACACCATGGCAAATGCTTGCAGAGCGAAAGAATTCTCTTGTGGAAAACCTTCAGAATTACCTTTTTGTTGGCGTACTTATGGTAGTACCGTTGGATATTGTTAAACGTTATTATGAACAACAGTAACGTATTAATTCTGTGTTACTAAACCATTAAGAAATTATATGATGTGTAATCGTTTCGAATAAAATGGATTATTACGAAACGAATAGTCAACTAATGAATGATAGAATGGAATGTATGAGTGAATTCTCGTGTAAACAACAGACAAAAAGATATCTTTTTATTTACTGTACGTTATCCAATTTGTTAGCCAATTAAGTTTCTCGTATCTTCTATGATTTCATAAATTATATTCCCCAAAGCTCTCCCAATATTTAATTAGTCTTAACGTTCAACGTTGAGCACATAAATTGCATAGGAATGGTATATACGCCAGTAATTTCGTTCACTACTAAGGTGTGCAATTAAGAAATCATAGAATAGTATATCAATGAATTTTATTGTTCGAAAGATTCTGATCGTAAGATTTAATTCGCACGAAGCGAGCGTGTCCTTACCGATTCCAAACGGTTTCGATGGCGTGGTCACGAAGTTCTCATCGTTCCTGGCGTGGCCCGTGGACGCGCGTCGCGAATGCAGCAACCCATTTAACTCGGTGTTCAGATCGGTTACGCTCTCGGAACGCGTCACGTTCAACGAGTCCAAAGAGGCGTCGGTTCTCATAATCTGAAAGCATCGACTAGTCGTATAAAGCACATTTCGACAAATTTATCCGATCCAATGATATCGAGTAGACGATAGTGTCAAAAATTAAAAAAAAAAATAAAGAACAGAATCTTGGAGAGCAACAGAAAATAATTAAAATCATCTAATCGACGCGAACGGATTCATTACACAATCTAATATATCGATAGGTTTGAAGAGGATCATAAATATAATTAAAAAACGTTCTACCGAGGATGCGAGGTAACGTGAAGCGTGAAATAAAATTAAGAAAGGATAAAACAAATTAAACGAAAAGCATACAGTGCGTCCGAGACGGCGGAGAGGCAGTAGTACCTGCGAGAAGTTGGGCACGCTTGCTGTCTTGCGCATCAGTGGTTGTCCTTGTGCTTGCAGTAATTCCTTCACCGCCACGTTTTGTCGTAGTCGGTCCAAAGTGAGAATACTCTCCACCGCAGAGACACCGCGCGTATATTTCTCTAAATAAACACAGCACGCGTGAGTTCGAATTTACAATGGCGACTGGAAGTTGGTTGGATCCTGAAGGGAACGATCATCGGCGATCGACTTACCGATGTATGTCTCGCCGTCGCACAAGCTATTGTCTTCCCCGCTCGCGGCTATCTGCGCCAAACTCTCGCGATCCTCCAGCTCCTCGCTCGCCTTTGGTATATTAGAAACGACCTCGTAGGTGACGCCCGTTTGGGTCAAGCAGTCAGAGTGCACGATCTTCTTGAAGATCCGGTCTGTGATGCTTTGTCTTTTGTAAATGTTCAAGGCCAACCGTTTACGCAGCACCAGGTCCATCGGTGCAGGATGCGACAACCGTACCGTCGTCTTCAAGATCAAAAAAACCCGCTCGTTCGCTGAAACACACGGCCATCGTGAGCCCCGACGACTCCAAAATCGGGTACAGGGGATTTAGGTTGGTCGGGTCAAATAATCTGGGCAGACTGATGCACAATCGAATTGCAAATTTACCATCGGTGACTTTGTTCAGGTGTATGTTGTCGTGTATACTGGAGTCCCAAGCAGCGATGGCGCACACGTCCTTCTCTATGCGTCGAATTATTGGTAAATTGTAAAACTTGTTGCCGTGTTCCTTGGGTAGAATGGAGTTCAGTCCGGTCACGGAAACTTCCTCCCCTGACTGGTGGGTCGAGAGATCGTCCGCTGCACAGAGATTCGATTTCGGGGTCGCAATTACATTTTGTTTCTCCAAAGTACGGACGAGAGAAGTTTCGCAAGGGAAACTTCGTTTCGCGAAGAAACATTGGAGTAGTGCACGGTTAAATTTCATTACATTCGAGACCCAACAAGGTAGTTTCTTTTTCTCTACTGGCTCAGATTTCAACCGTGTATTACCGTGACAGGGATAAAGAAAGCGTACCGTTGAGATCAAGGAACAGAACAGGTATATGGGGTTCCATGCCCGATGGAGGGTTCCAGTCGGCAGGCGCACCAGGAATCCCAGAGCCTGCTGCAGGGACTAAAACTGCGTTCCTTTCTTCCGTCAGGCTGACCCACTGATCCACGAGGCTCTGTTCTCGTTCTATGTCTTGTTCTGTTTTTTCTGCGCGTATGATTAGATTAGAACCCCGAGGAAAGATTATCTCGTAATCAACGACGGTACCTTGTTTATTGATGAGTTTCTGAATTTGTTGATCCAGGTACTGTCTCCTTCTCATCAAGGCTTCGCTCCACTTTTCCCTCAGTACGCTCAGGTCTTCGTCCTGGTAACTGTCCAACGGAATCTGAAGGCGATTCCTCACGGATACGCTGCCGACCGCTATGTTCAATATCGACTGACAAATTATCGGCAACGTTCCCGAATTTTGTACTGGTTTCACGCGAACTTGTATCCGCCGTTGCTGTCCCTGACGTAATTGATAAATACCGCCTGAAAGGCACGGGTGAGCTTGCGTTATCGAAGCTTGTGATCAGGGATTCTAACCGCTCGCTAACCCTAACCGTAAACTGGTTAATCGAGGCAGATTAGAGTAACTCACGGTAACCGCAAAACCAGGTTCGGGTTAGGGTTAGAGTTCCCGGGCTGCGGTCGAAGAAATATACAGATGGACGTCACGTACCCGTCCACATATCCTGTTTTACAACTACATCGACCGGCGAGTACTCTCCTTGTTCGTTGAGCTCTTGAATTTCGACCCAGAGTTCGATCTTTCGCGTCAGCTCTGACCATCGATCGGCAAGGGATCTAGCTTTGGCCAACTGTTGCTCGACCTCCCAGCCGGGTTTGCTTCGAGAGAAACCGGCGCTTCGATGACCCCAAACTTCTATGCTCAGGGCACCTTCTGCGGATGAAAATATACTTACGTTATTCCATCTCTTGCCCTCTCACGAAAGACTATGGGTTCGAGAGGATTTCTTACCAGCACAGTGTTCCATGAACTCCTCCGTTATGGGTACGGTGAAATCTTTCGTGTGATTGAACTTGAACGCCAGAGAGTCCCTCTGGCCAGTCTGGCAATTTGAGTTGAGCTGCTCCGAGTTGTCCACGGCTGGGACCACTATCGGCTCCGGATGGCCGCAAAACATATACTGACAAAATACGTAATGGCTCAGCGACAATGGCAACCCGGTGGCTTGTTTTATCGTCACGCGACAGATGATATGACTCGATCCGGAATAATCCTCAGGCTCGGACGATGTCGAGTCGGTGGACGACTCGGACGCCGCCTCGCAGATGCGATCCTGAGGAAAGTGGCCGGATATGCGACTAATTTCAACCTGCAGTCGTCCAGCGACTTCTCCCTGTTGGCTGATAATTGGCGTATGATAATCTAACCGAACGTCGTGAAACAGAACTTCTAAGAAAATATTCGCTACTCCGATAAGATTGTGATTCTCCTGGGACTCGTAGAACGGGTCTTGTGTCTTTCCCAGCACTTCATCCTGTTTTAAAAACATATTTAATCTGGTCAATGTTCTTCTTTCGTTGCCTCAAGAAGGGTATTCCAGATTAGAATACCCCCTTAACCCATTTATGCCCAAAGTAAAAATTGGGACCGAAATGGTACAAATTGCAATATTAAGTTTGATAAGGCATAAATGGGTTTTCCGAATCAAGATAATATTACCTTAATGGCAGGTAATCGTTGACAATTATTGGGATCTTTTCTCTCCTCGTACATGTCCCGCATATCGACTAACTTATTTTCTAGCTTCTCCATGGACCACACCTGACTGCCCATGTTCGTTCTCTTCACTAGAATCGCGGGTTCGCTGACGAAAGCTCCCCGCTGAAAAAATACACTCTGCATATTGGAGAGTGCGAAAGCAAAACGAACAGAAATAAATAAACACAAGAAAAGGAAACTGAAACGTCACAAAATTAAAAATTGATAATCGAAAGGAAAACAAATAATATAAATAATGTAACGAAAGATAGAACGGTGAGTCGCCCAAACGATACAGTGGGCGTGGCTAAAAGATACAGTGGGCGGGGCTCAACGATACGGTAGGCGTAACAAAACAGTATGATGAGGATAGCCCTTAGTGCCCTCAAGGGATCAAATAATTTTGTGTCTACTATATGTAGCGCATCTTATCAAGAGTACCTTTCTATTCGGACTTAAATTGTTCGGCGGGATCTGCAGGGTGACGCTAAATTTCGTTTGCTTCCCCATCTCCTCCGCCAAGAAGTTTGCTTCTTGCACCAACGCGTTCGCCTTCAAGATGTCCGCTTTTAATTGACCTAAGCTTCGCTTGAACATCTCGTCCCTCTCCTGGGCCCATTTCTCCACGCGCATTTGCGTGGTAGGCGTGCAGGCGGGCAATTTTCCGCTTTGGCTGCCCCTTAACGGGTCGTACGGTACGTACGGTGAATACGGCGTCGACGGAGACAGAATATTACGAAGCTGCTGAAACTGACGCTCGTACTCTTGCCTCTGCTTCTCCAGCGCGACCTTCGAACAAAGAAATAACCCGTCGACGCGACTCCTATCTGACAATACAGGCTACAAATACCGGGACTAGCTTGGACATTCATAGACATCCTGTAACATTCTTCCACATCGAAGTATAACCATGAGTCTAGACAATATTTAGAGAGCTTAGAAGAACGCGTGGAACCTTCGTACCTGTTTGTCCTCCTCGTGTTGTTTCTCCAGTCTAGCAATGGCCCTTTGAATCGGATCGTTCGACAGCTCGTTGAGCATCAGTTCCTCCCTCGCGAAGTTGTAATCGATATTCTGAGCGGGCGTCTGAGGCTCGCTGTTAATCGCTGCGAAGAGAAACACACAACGGTTCCCCGCGGATAATCCCGACAAGGTGGTTTTTAAAATTCAATAAAGCCCTCGTTCGAGCATACCTGTTGCGCTCCTGGGACAATTCACCCGGAAGAAATGATGATTTCCCCAGACGATCCTGTCGCCGTGCAACAACGGTGTTTTTTTCACCACCTGCGTGCCGTTCACGAAACACCTAGCACCGTTCAACGGCGTCATGTAGAGGCCAGACTCCTCTATCGTGATCACGCAGTGCTCCGGCAGTATACCCAGCCCGTGCAGCTGGATGTCCTGGTCCGTTTTCGCCGAACGTCCGCCGACCAGCGTCCTTTCCTGATCAAACGACACACGGCGACGTTACAACGATCATCTATACCCGATATGGCAAGCGAACCGCTCGTTACCCCGTACGTACTTTCAAATAGTAAACCAACAACTCGTTCAAGCTGGGGTCGTCGTTGAGATTAACAAGATAGTACTTGTTCTTCTCCACTTGGATACCGGAAGCCTGCACGCTGATACCCATTTTCTCCAAGGCCTGTTGCCTTTCGTGCTGCAGCCTCTCCGTCTTCACCAGCTTCTCCTCCCATGTCTGCGACATCTCCTTCATCAATCGTTCCGACTCCGACAGCTTCTCCGTTATGTCTGTGCGTTGTTGTCCCACTATCGATCCTTTACCCTGTGGACGTAAAGGAAAACAGAATTAAAGAAAGAACTGGACACTTTGCTCGCTGGAAACTTTAGCAACGGTGAAACTCGATCGCTCGTCACGCACACGCCGTGTGTCCTATTAATCCTGTCGAAATTAGAATCAACAGGGCTCAGAGACTAGGATCGATGGGAGCAGCTCGACGAGTTTAAAACGCTAATCTTTAGACTGCGGATGTCTATGCATTTATGAGAAATTTTAATTCTCAAAAAACTACAGAATGCACTTGTTATGCAAAAATATAAGAAATATTTAAAGTAAGATACGAATTATTATATTTAGGGGTTGAGACAACCCTCTAGAAAGCTCCGATTTCATTAATTGTATTAATAAAAATATGAATGTGCATAATGATCCGCAGTCTACTAATCTTTAATGCCCTAGCAGGCTAGCCGGGTGAGTCTCTTAAATGATTTTCTCATCGTCTTTAGCAGCCTGAAAAAATGTTTGTTTGAAACTAAATTTTCTTATGTATCTAATCTTTTGATAAAAATAATTTGTAAAACGCGCGAAGACGCAGCTAAAGTTATTCCAACGATTTGGTGGTTTTTGTTCGGTGAAACGTAATTTGTCTTACAGTCGCGTGCAACAGCATCTCCTTCAGCGTCTCCACTTCCTGCCTCAGTTCCCGAATAATTCTTGCGTTGGGATCCTCGTTGACCACCGCGTGATTAACGATCCTCTTCGCTCTGTCCGCGTATCGGAGGGTGGAAAGCGTCTCCTCGTAATTGTCCGCCGCGGGGGACACGGTGGCTACCATCACGGTTTTACTGTTTCCACCGAGGTTGTCCTAAAGTCGAAACACAACACACGTACAGACGAGAGTTTCCATCGATGCTATATTTTTTTCTTTTTTTTTTTTTTACTGATTTCTTCTACTGAACTGTAACACTCTGTTCCCTCGACTTTCTCTATCGCGCGAGTCGCCGCTGATCGCAATACTTAACGAAAATTGCACATCTTTCTAAAAAAATTTTACATTAGCCAGATTAGCCCACCATTTTGTTCATTAGTCGGATTTTTTTGTTTATTAGCGAGACAGAGCAAAGCGTAGGAGGGATGAGTGGCGCGAAAGATTTGGAAAAATTAATTAAATGCTTCCAGAACCGAAACGTGCAAATTCCTCGTTTTGGAAAATGAAATCGAACAGTTCCTTTATCGTTTTGGACTCTTCGATTTCTTTTTCAAAGAATTTTAGCTTAAAATTAACAATACCTTTAACAACCACGTTAACACGGAGTCTCTGTACGGCACGAACTTGTCCTTATTCTTATTACTTCCGGAATTCTGATCCGCCAGCTTCGAAATGACTAGACCCAACGTCGTTAGGGATCTGCAAATATTTGTGCCTATTGTACACCGTGATCGATCACACAACGTCGACTTCGTAAAAGATTACAATTAAGCGGACGCCATTAAGTACTTTTAATGGAATTAATCCACACCGTAAGATACACGACACGTTTGGCAAATTTTATAATAAAATGTAAAAGTTGAAAACAGTCACGGAACAATTGGAACCAAAACTTTTATAATAAGAACTTCTCGCGTTATAAGTTCCGGCGAGAACAAAGTTCCGGATTCCTTTGAAAGTCTTGTTTTGTTTTTGTTATTACATCACTGTTACGATATACTGTAAATATAGGGTTTTATTTAATATTAAACTTTTGCTAATAAAAGTTCCGTAGTAACTGTTTCGCAAGAACAATTTTCAAACAAGTTCTCTCCCATAAAATTACAACAGATAGTTCAAAACAAAGTTCGAAATGAATTAAAACAGAGTAACAATTATTTCTTTCGATCTCTATGGTCTCGGTTAGGTCTAGGTTATTTTTTAAATATTTTTAATTTAAAAATGCGACGAAAACATAGAAGCGACTTTGTTCGCCAAAATGGCGTCCCGTGTAGATTTCGATCGAGCGTTTACTTGTTTATATTGCTTCCTTCTTTAAGCCTATCGCCCACTGCCCCAGTTTTCACAGCCCTTTCGCTCCCTGCTAAGTCCACCAAACTCATTCTGGAGACCTTCTCCCCGCTGACGCCGCTTTTGGTGTCCGTCAACGTTTGGGTGAGGATCACGGAGAACACTGCGTGCGACCGGGAGCTCTCAGAGTTCATGTTCGTCGCCGCCACCGTCCTCGACTTGTTGCCCTCCGCCATCAGATTGTCAATATCCTGCGAAATTGTCGACGCTTTTAACTCTGCCACTCTACACAGTCATACTGCAAATCCAAACAAATTAACCCCACGAAACTGGCGCCCCCTAACCTCTCTCGAGTCTCAAATAAATTGCATTAAAATAGTTCCATGGATGGTCGATAAGAAATAAAATTACATTTACGGTTAAACAACGGTGTTAATTAGTTCCTAAAAAGAATGTAATAACTCTTAAAAGCACGCGAACGTGCATGGGAAGTTAATTAATAGCTTCGTTTTTCGAGGTTAGGTTATGTACGACGGAGGATAATAATGAAATTCGTATTTAGATTAAATTTATATCGACGGCTCGATTATATCGGTAAATAGGAAATTACGGTTAACGAACGATTCTAATTAGTATCTGGAAGTACACGGTTATTCTTTAACGAATATAAATGGTCGAAGCGTTGCAATTGCAACAAATCGCGAGAAGCTAATTAATAGGTTTGTGGATGGTTCCATGAAGATAAAGGGCCAAGAAACATTCTCTGAAAATACAACGTATACGAAAGAATAATTCTAACGTCCGTGGTAACGCCATAGCAAATTGAAACTTATCGCGCGTTACTGGTATGCGCGAAACATGTTTGTTGCATAAAGGAGGCTGGCACTGCCTTCGCTGTATGTAAAACGACCTGATTTTACTTTCTGAAAGGATCGTGTATCATTACCTTCGTTCGTTTAATATTCGTACCACGGCCGAACGATCGCCAGTAGCCGTTTGATTTAGATCGATCACGATCGTGACGGTTCAATCAATTTGTTAAGCTGCACCGATAGACTGGTTTTGATTGTCTCGTTAGTCGAGAAACAACAGCCTTGTTACCGTCCATATCGAGAGAAAGTTAATTTGCTACGGTACGAATCGCCTATTTTATAATTGACGACTTTGTTAAAACTCATTGGAAGATCTTTATGGATGCTAACGATACCTATAGGGCTTTGCAAAAATGTTATTGATATTGAGAATCTTTTATTTTCACATCGGTTTTGTTCTACACGTATAGTTCGTTCCTGGCAGCTACGGCGAATGGCCGGTTACAGAAATTAAATTGATGAAGCACTGCAACGACAGATATTGATCATAACGGTTTCACTTTGGAACCGAGCCAGTTACCAGTCAAAACAAGCGATAAATAAAGAAGAAACGATGCAGTCTTTCCTGTATAGAATACGCAAGAACGGTGAACATCACTGAGGATTGATAAACGTACAATTAAGGATCAGTCCCGTGAATTATTCCTATTACCTATTCATCATTTTCCAAGTTTAATACTGTTAGGACGATGGATTGGTTTCAAATAAATACTCCCTACGGTTTCACATTTAATTAAGAGCATTATATTTCTAGATGAAACGCGACGCGTGTGCATCGCACGTGGTTTTCGAGTTGCGTCGACAAAAGGACGCGTACGACTGACGTAGGAAGAAACGCGTGATTGGTTCCAGCCGCTGGAGTGGGGACGCGACTAATAGAAGCACGGCGTCGAGCCCGCGAGATTTAAACTGTCTAAAAAACACGTTTCACCCATACATGGATAACATGACTTTTCACTTGAAGAAACTAAATCTAGACAAGACTCTTGAATTTTAACGAGACTACATAAAGAAACGGGCATAGAAAAGTTATCTATATTTCTATCAGAATTTCGGGTACTATCATCGATATTTTCGATGCCTTCGAGAGATGCAATTTCGTCGTACGCGAAACCGACGGTTCCCATTCGTAAAATTCGATTACTATTATCAGTTACTATTATAGTAGTAATCCGATACACGGGAGAGCTGAAAAGCCAAGTAGTACGGAGTTCACAAAGGACATAGAGTTTCATCCTATTGAAATATCTAGGTTGTTCGCGGTGGAAGTTAACGATGAAACACAATACCGGCGGAACGGACGAGCTTAACAGCTTAAAATTAATCAGACGTTTCGCCACCTGGACGGTTTCATTTCCGAATGTACACGTAATTGAAGGAAAAATTGATATCTTCGTCATTTTATTTTTACTGATCCGTAGTTTTCACAAAATGGCCGCCTCGGTGGACTTTCTCCGGGTACAACCTAAGGGTTGTTTCTAAAGCAACGAACGCAGATGTTGTTTGCAGAAACATATTCTCTCTCCATATTTATTTCTTCCGGCTACTGAAACTAATGGCACCGTGCATCGTTTGTAACGCAAATCCGAACCCAGAAAAGATCTCATTTTTCTCTCAGAGTCCCCAACGATGGTTTAATTCCTGGTTCATAACAGTGAACAAAATTGAGCAAAAAATATGTGAACTATTTTCTTTAATCGACTCGAAAATAATTTTGGAAACATTTATTTAAACCGAGCGCTTGCAAATTAAACGACGACTCGGTGTTTCCGTTGCCTTTGGCGGAAGTCGCGGAAGGGTTCGCCTGGCAAAGGCAAACAACGACGAGAAATAAGAAATAAAAGCGTCTCGTTACCTGGAACGATGTGACGGCGAGTTGACTGAGTCCGTCGACGTACGGCCCCAGGACATTGTGCTCCCTGACTTTGAGCGTGTGTTTGTTAGGCTTCGGATCCAGCAGGTCGTGCACCTTCTCGTTGTAGATCTCCATGTACGAGACTTCGACCTTGTAGCTGAGCTCCGAGCTCTGCTGCTTCGCTATCATGTCGAACAGGTTGTCGCACAGCCGCGGTATGATGCCCTTGTTCTCGCCGCTACCCATCATCGTGTACGACTTCCCGGACCCTTAAAAATTAACCAAACCCCAGGTCAACGACCCCAGAACACCTCTACGCAGCGAACAGGGGACGTTACAATCACTATGGACGATCGAGTCATCTTTATAGAGAAATCAAAGCTACTACGAAAATTTGCTTACCCTGCTTTATGGGCAATATTTCCCGTAAATTAAGTAGTTTATATTTTATTTTAGGAATATAGGGTGTTCGGTCATCGCTGCGAAAAATTTTAATAGGGGATTCTAGAGGCCAAAATAAGACGAAAATATAGAATACCAATTTGTTGATGGAGGCTTCGTTAAAAAGTTATTAACATTTAAAGTTCCAAGCGTACTAATTTTTTTTCTCGAAAATGCGAAGGATTTCGGGGGTATGTGTAATGACCAAAAATGATTGTAATTGACCCCCGCAACCGAAAATAATTTTTCCAAAATGATTTGAAATTTTTTTTCCCGTCGAAAATTTTCATACATTCTCGAATTTTTTTCTAGAAAGTGGGTAGGATTTCAGGGGTATGTCTATTCACCAAAAATGATTGCATTTGACCCCCGCAACCGAAAATAATTTTTCCAGAACGATTTGAAAGTTTTTTTTTCGTCGAATTTAGGCACCTAATTAGATTTTCGGTAAGGAATTTTTTTCTCAAAAATGCATAGGATTTCGGGGATATGTGTAATGACTGAAAATGATTGTAATTGACTCACGCAATCGAAAATACTTTTTCCAAAATGATTTGAAATTTTTGAATTTAATTGTTAATAACTTTTTAACAAAGCCTCCATCAAGAAATTGATATTCTTGATTTTCGTCGTATTTTGGCCTCTGGAACACGCCATTAAAATTTTTCCCAGGGGTGGCCGAATACCCTGTATAAAGAGTACGTCAACATCCGGATCGGATAAAAATGGCGGGAGTTATAGGGAGATGGCAAACACGCAGACTTTGAAGAATTAATTCTGGGATCCTATTTGCGTTTTAAAAAATGACTCAGATCGCAAAGAAGATCTTTCGACCACTCGAATAAAAATGGAATTATGGAAATATGGAAATCCTTCAGAGTTCTTGGGAATATATATCCCTTTCACCGGGCTTTGTATTCTTATCTGTTAGAATTTGCTCGCGAGACAAGGTTCCGGTCTGCCTGCGAACATAAGCGCTTGAGAGGATAACGAAAGAAAAGGTTAAATCCGATTCGTCGATGGCAAACGAGCGCCTAAGTGCACGGGTAAGATGCAAGGAGTCTTTAGAAGTGCATAATCTCATTTTTTTTTCTCTCTCGAAACCGTCCACGGGGTTGCGACACGCGGATCGTTGTTCGTCGTCGTCTGGGTCAATGTCTTCGTCGCGAGATCAACCGTGGACGTTTATCGGCGCTGACCTCTCTAATTGCGTTATTCCCGTTGAGCTAACAACGGTGGAAGACGTTCCGTTATCAGAGGGAACGAGCAAAGACGGGCGGTATCTGGACGAAAACAAATTTTTATGTGCAGTTTCTTTAATGAAAATTACGACGGCACGAATAACTGGAATAAATCGAGAAATTTGTTATTTATTCATTTTCTGAAATGATATTTGCAATTTCAATTACTGTTTCAAAACTAAGAATCAAATATGGCGTAAAATTGATTCCACGAAAATAGTAACAAAGTTTTAATTTTATTTTTTTGATTTGCACGTAAATATTTAATTATCGTACGTTCAGTTTTGTCTCTGAAATGGCGCGTGGAGGTTGTGAAGGTGATTAAAAATCACGTTCGGATACAAGCAAAATACAATCTCGCGCCCGGTCGGTAACGATAATCCCGTCGTGGAGACTTAAAAACCGCACAATGCCAGCGGCGAAGTGACAAATCCGTAATCCGACACGCTGTTACAATGCAAATGAAACGAGACACTGATCAAAGCACGTGGAAACGTTCCGCGTGAAGGGAGTTTAATCGGCTGCGAGGTGCGTGGGTGTGGCTACCCGGAAGGTCGCGGATCCCAAGGTCGAAATATGTATATTATACGTCAGGGAAATTGAGATTTCCTGTACCTACCGGTTTGACCATAGGCGAAAATGCAGGCGTTGTAACCCTGGAACGCATTGTCCAAAATATCGCGTCCCAGGGCGTCGAACACCACCTCTTGACTTGCGAAACTCTCCGCCGCCGGGTCCAGGGAGTGGAAACAGTGATCGAACGCGAATGTTTTTGGTTTGTTCCTGCAACAACATTAAAAATTTCAACGTTAAACCAACGAGTAACGCTGTGTTCGTTGTATCGAGTCGGCCATATTGGATATAGCGTCTATCCGCCATATTGAATAGCAAGCAATCTGAGCCCTTGTTTCAATTTGATATTAATTCCATTAAAAATTAGCACTTTTCGTGGCAATAAAAAGTGGTAAATGATCGTAAAAAAATATATTTTTCTCTCGATGCCCAATATCCAACTAAGAAGTTAAAATGTTTTATTTATTTTCACAGTACTCTATGAGCTGAGAATTTAGATATTAAACGGAGATTTTAAATATATTTTCTTTAGTCTCTGTGTTGTATTCTACGTAGAAAAGCATTTATGTATCTTTGATCTAACTAGCGAAGCGTAGCTTAACTAATTTTAATTGTGTAATTTGCATCAATTAATTAATCGCTTTTATAGAGCTCTAGAATCAATTATAAGCGAAGACTGATTCGCGAGGTTGTTTACGAATCGCAAGAATAATTCTCCGTCCTCTCATTCTTTAAAAATATACAGGGTGTTCGGCCACCCCTGGGTCAAATTTCAATGAGGCCAAAATAAGACGAAAATCAACAATATTAATTTGTTGATCGAGGCTTCGTTAAAAAGTTATTAAAAAATTAAATTAAAAAATTTCAAATCATTCTAAAAAAATTATTTCTAGGTTCTAGGGTCAAATATAACCATTTTTGGTGAATACGCATACCCCCGAAATGCTACGGACTTTCGAGAAAAAAATTCAAGAAGGTGGACAAATTTTTCGGCAAAAAAAAAATTTCAAATCGTTCTGGAAAAATTATTTTCGGTTGTGAGGGTCAAATACAACCATTTTTGGTGAACAGACATACCCCCGAAATCCTACGCATTTTCGAGAAAAAAATTCGAGTAGGTCGACAAAATTGTCGACAAAATTAAAAAATTTCAAATCGTTATAGAAAAATGATTTTCAGTTGCGGGGGTCAATTGTAATCATTTTTGGTGAATAGACATAACCTCAAAATCCTACGCATTTTCGAGAAAAAAATTCGAGTAGGTCGAAAAATTTGTCGACAAAATTAAAAAATTTCAAATCGTTCTGGAAAAATTATTTTTTGGTACGGGGGTCAATTACAATCATTTTTGGTGAATACACAGTCGGTGACCGAACACCCTGTATATAAACTTACCAACGGACATATTTGCAGACATTTATCAATGTTAACTCTTTCCGGGCAGAGTTTCGTCGCGTTCCCAGGTGGTTTCCCGCGCGAAACAATAACATTATACCGATAATTACAAATATTTCCCCGTCTTTCCTTGATTTACAGGCCCACGGGACGTCGATATCGGAAAAATTCCAAGCATTGTCCGCCGCGGAAGTTCGTTTCGCAACCCTTTCTCGCACTAAAAGCATCCACGATAGTAAATTCGATTGTTTCCCCGAAGGGGGAACCAAATCCGTACGAAACCTATTGCTAATGAATTAATCACGGGCAATAAAATAAAACTAATTTACCTTCAGAAATTCCCTGTTCGAGTTTATCGCCGGATAATCGGTATTATAATGTGAAATGCAATTATCATGGTGGCCGATAATTTGAAAGATTTGCCTGCCAAACCGGCGATAAATGTCTTTATTACTCGATTCGGGGGCGTAGCTAATTACCTGTATCAACGATTTTGAAACACAGACGCGGATCAAATTTTATCGCGGCGTTCCTATCTCGATAAATATTGGGAAGCAGATATCTGTCGATGCTGCTAAGTTTACAGAGTTAGCCTAGTTTCGAAACAACAGTTTTTTATTTCGTTCGCGTAAAGATTCAAATCTTACATCATACTATTGGGGAAGGATCAATATTTTAGATTAAAATGGTGAACGTTGGACCAAAATGGAGGCTCTGAAAATATAGATTTTTTTCTTAAATTATAGTCAGGTCCAATTAGTAGAATGATCCTTGTATTAAGTTTCAAAATATTGACTTTTTTACAGATCATTGGAGAAGGAGCAATCTCTTAGAAAGATTTTTAAAATTGAGTTTGCTCTCCCAAGAATGGTGAACATTGGATCAAAATGGAAGCTCTGAGAATACAGATATGTGGGTGTGATTTTTAAATCACGTTTGCAGGGGGTTAACGAAAATAAGATGAGATTTTATTTTCACGTTTGCACGGTTTATTATCGGAGATAGAGGAGGAAACACACGTGGTGCATGCTGGAAATGAAAGCGATTTCCTCTTGTTCTGGATATCAGAGCACGACCCTGTCTCAAACGTCAAAAGAGTCGGACTCGTTCGAAACGACCAGGCGTGTTATACGCATCGAGCAACTATTGATTTCCCGTCGCATTTTCTCCTCGAGTAATCAGTTTCCATCGGTTTTTCCGCCCCGGAGAAAAACTGGAACATTTAGTCCGCGGCAACGGCGAGTCATGACTTCGACGCGAGTCCAAATTTAGGTTGCACGGCTCAACAAGTTACCTCAAATCCCTTAATTCAATTCTACGTCAATGTTTATCATCCCTCTATAGTCTTATCTGGCTTAAAAATGGCTGGACTAAGCTATAAACCCTGATGATAGTCCTTGATCCTCTTGACTGTCATGGGGGTCACCGGTGACCGTCACATTTAGTTACGTTAAATCCCTGGAATCAATTTTATGTCAATATTTATCATTCTTCCGTAGTCTTATCTGCTTCAAAACTGGTTAGACTAAGCTATAAATCGCGAAGATAGTTCTTGATCCTCTTGACTGTCATGGGGGTCACCGGTGACCGTCACATTTAGTTAAGTTAAATCCCTCGAATCAATTTTATGTCAATATTTATCATTTTTCCGTAGTCTTATCTGCTTTAAAACTGGCTAGACTAAGCTATAAATCGTGAAGATAGTTCTTGATCCTCTTGACTGTCATGGGGGTCACCCGAGACCGCCACGTCTAGTTACGTTAAATCCATCGAATCAATTTTATGTCAATATTTATCATTCTTCCGTAGTCTTATATGCTTTAAAACTGGTTAAACTAAGATATAAATTGTGAAGACAGCTCTTGATCCTCTTGACTGTCATGGGGGTCACAGGTGACCGTCACATCTAGTTACGTTAATCCCTGGAATCAATTTTATGTCAATATTTATCATCCCTCTATAGTCTTATCTGGCTTAAAAATGGCTAGACTAAGCTATAAACCGTGATAATAGTCCTTGATCCTCTTGACTATCATGGGGGTCACCGGTGACCGTCACTTTCGACTTCCGGGCGCTTTGCAATATTGTTTCAGGCGGAAGTATACACTCTTAAAATGACAAAAAGAAACAGAGTAGAGAATAAGAATATTTCTATGTTTTGCGCTACAATTTGTACACATTATATTAAAGAATTATTATCAAAAGTACACATTGGTTTATTTCGATGGAAAGTTTAAAATTCGCAGAAGCCAAAGTGTACAATATTACTGTAACAATTGAAAAAATTAATACGATGAAAAACCGATGCTCTCGATGTCCGCGGAGGATGTTTTGCGCTTTCCGGTTTTCGGGATTCATTAAAAATTGCGCGCGAGAGGATCCTCCAACCCCCGGGGCGTCTAAATGAATACGATTTCAGTTGAACCGAACGTGAAAGCCCCCGATTTCGATTCAAATGAAAACCGCAAAACGCGGCTTCTTTTAATATTCATGGAAATTTTCAGGGCTGAGTTTCATTCATTCGCTCGATTTAAATATAAATTCGAATGCCATTTTAAAATCCTCGACACCACGCTGAATCGGTTATGATAGCATTTTTTTAACACTCCCGGCGATTAAGCCCGTCCGAAAACTTTAAAAAAAAATTATTCATTACGTAATAAATCCCAACTAGAGAAACGTTTTTCGTCCATTGAAAAACCTTTGTTAATACAACTTTCTGCCCAGACTCTCTGTGGCACTTCTTTTTTCTTTTTAATGTCAAAAATGGTACTTTACGTGTCCGAGTGTGATGTATACAGAGGGTAAGGGTAATATCTAATATTTATATTTTCTCTAATTTACAAAAATAAAAAAAAATATATTTGTTAGATAGGTTCGACGAGAAGCAATTCGTTTTATTTGTATCGTAAATCTTGGTATCCTTTCGAAGATTCTCTTTACATTATCTCGAATACGATTTCACACCTTGGAGAGGAAAGAATTTCGCGAATCAGACGTCGAATTTCCACCAGCAGAGTGTACAATATGACTTGTACGTTATATTATATCGACGATGGAGGGCGATTCCCTCGAATGGCTACATTTCACGCAATATCGGAGAAAGCATTCTTCTTACATCCTACAAACGACTCTCGCCCCATATGACGATTGTTCCGTGACATCGAACCTCACAGAACTCTGAAATTTCAAACTTTCGTTCTTGAAGAAAGTAGATACGATTCCGATGTCGACAAATTTAAAATAAATTTTCCCCCTCCTTTCCAAGCACTAATATTTAAAATTAATTCGTTTTCTCTTAGATCTATTATACTAAATAAATAAATAATAAAATTCAGCGAAAAACTCCATTATAATATTCGTCCATTTGGAATCTGAGAATGGAGAAGTTCGCGTGGGATAAAAGAACGATAAGTAGGGGAGGGACGGAACTTCCGGTCGGAGGAGAATTTTAAAAACAGTGAATTCGGTATCGATAAAAGCTCAGCTGTATTTAAACTATTCGAACTCCTAACTCTCGCCATAAAAATTCCGTGAAACTTCGCCAGCGACGGGCGATTGCTTAAACGCGTTAAAAGCAATCCCCGAGGACGAGTTTACAAGATTCCTTCCGGCGAGTTCGAGCGACGAGAACAGTTGGCGAGAAACGTTGTTGCCCGAGGACGGCGATTCCACGTCGGGATAAACGACGATCGATTCGACGCATTGCACGGATACCTCGAATTCTTATCTAATAGACAACGATTTAAAACGAAACATAAACAATCCCGTTCGTTCCTCAATTTTCCCTTATCTTTTTAATTCAATTTCAACCA